AGCCTCCCAAAGTCCTGAGAATACAGGCGTAAGCCATCACACCCAGCTGCCCTTGACTTTTATTCAGAGTGTTTCTCCTAGCTGCAGTTCTGTAGGATTTTTGTGTGACCATTTTACGTCCTCTGTCTTCTGAGCAATAACAGGCAGTAGCGTGTCTGGGAGAGTCTGGGCCACATGGAGGGCATTTGGCAAAAGCAGTTAAGGAAAAAGCCATAGAAGCGTCATGGGAACAAAGTTTAGAAGCAGTGAGGGGACATCAGTCTTTACTGTTAGGAATCTCATGCAGCTAAAAGCAGCATCCCTGATAAACTCGTTATCTACTCAGCAAAACAGAAAACCCATAGGAATTTCAGCATTGCACCCGTCTTATCTCTTGTGCACATTCCTCTCTCATTTAATGATCGGCCATGCCAGAGGCCATTTTCCTGCTAACTCCTTCTCTGCCAAACTCAGTATTTTAATGTATTAGCTGTTATTGCACATATGACTAGAATCTCTTATAATCATTATATGTTTATAGCTTTCCTCTTGTGTCTGCGAAAGTCATCCTTTGGTTAACATAACCATCTTTTATTCACTTTCACCCAAAATTACAGTTCATAGCATAATACTTCAGGAAGGGAAAATTGTGAGGCATCCTCTTTATAAACCACCTATATTTGTAAGGATGCCAGGGAATCAATGGCGGTAAATAAGCTTAAAGAAAGAAAAGAAGTCTCAGCTTAAATTGAGTCTGAGACTCAGTTTTACTCAGATTCATGTGGGAGATGACCCTTTTTGATTCCCAGCATTTATATGTATTAGTTTCTTTCTTCCTTTCTCTTTTTCTCTCTCTTTCTTCCTTCCTTCCTTCCCTTCCTTTCTTCCTTTTTCTCTCTCTCCCTCCCTCTCTCCCTCTCTCTCTCTCTTTCTTTCTTTCTTTCTCTTTCTTTCAATGGAGTCTCACTCTGTCACCCAGGCTGGAGTGCAGCGTCTTGATCACAGCTCACTGCAGCCTCATCTTTCTGGGCTCAAGTGGTCCTCCCACCTCAGCCTCCTGAGTAGCTTGGACTACAGGTGCATGACACCATGCCTGGCTAATTTTTTTTTTTTTTTTTTTTTTAGAGATGGGGTTTTGTCATGTAGCCCAGGCTGGTCTTGAACTCCTGGGCTCGAGCCATCCACCCGCCTCAGCCCACAAAGTGCTGGGATTGCAGGTATCACCCACCACACCCAGACTACCTTCCAGTCTTTTCAGATTTTCTTTAGAAATCTCTATTTCGTATCCATAATCTCATTTTTACGTATCATCAAAAACCATGTTTAGATTGCTGTTTCATAGGTTTTTTAAAATCAGCTATGATTTTATTTTATTTAAAAGCCTTTTTTAAGGGGACCAACTTTTCTTATTTCTTCACAATGCCTTCTAATATATATGCACACATATCCATAATGAATTCATATATATGCATAAAGTTTTCATAAATCTGTAATAGCAGTATGTTTACAAAATTTTTGAAATATCTTTTTTTACTTAAAAGTGTTATAAATTCTCTAAGATGGACACCCGATGTAGTGCTTGTTGGAATGTAAATGAATGCACTTCTGGGGAGCAACTTGAAAGAACATATCAAACTCATAGAGGCGACTGTAATCAAGAAGGGATGGGGTGCATTCTGGGGGACCGGTAATGTTCTGCTTCTTGACCTAGGTGGTGTATACATGGTTTTTTATTTTATAACTGTTAAAAAGTACATATGTAAATTGTATGTACTTTTCTGTATGTTATGTTGTATTTCACAATTCAAAAATTATTTTTAAATGTACATTTGGTTATTAATTTCAAATAATTCTACCTTTAAAAAGAGTGTAAGTGATGATTTTAAAGCATGGATTATAATAGCAAATACCAAATACAACAGCAAGGGTTTGATTAAATAAAGCAAAGCAGATGCAGATGACAGAATCCTCCGCATCTTTTATAAAATGAAATATATCACGCCTGTAATCCCAGCACTTTGGGAGGCCGAGGCGGATGGATCGCGAGGTCAAGAGATCGAGACCATCCTGGTCAACATGGTGAAACCCCCTCTGTACTAAAAATACAAAAAATTAGCTGGGCATGGTGGTGCATGCCTGTAATCCCAGCTACTCAGGAGGCTGAGGCAGGAGAATTGCCTGAACCCAGGAGGCGGAGGTTGCGGTGAGCCGAGATCGCGCCATTGCACTCCAGCCTGGGTAACAAGAGCGAAACTCCGTCTCAAAAAAAAAAAAAAAAAAAATGAAATGTAAATAAATACATGCTGAGGCACAGGCACAAGCTGTTCATAACATGAAGGGGAAAAAATTGCACAAAGTATGTTCAGTAAGTTCTTCTACTTAAAAAGTTATATAATCCACGTGTTAAGAAGAATTTCGAGAGCTATATAAACCAAAGGATGGAGTGAAATTGTAGCAAGCATTTTATTTCTCTTTGTTTATATTTTCTAATTTTTCTAAATGAACTCATTTTGCTATTTGGATAAGAAAAAAAGCTATTTAAAAGAAATTTTAAGCTCATTTATTTCTTCATTCAGTAGCAAGTCTTAGCATTATTTCTCAGTTTGGGCCTTTTAAAAATAGTAATCAAAATATACATTTTACAAGAACAACCAGATTCTCTTCATAGCCCTTACATTTTGAAATAATGTATTTTATTTGTTGACAGTTTGGGTGAGGTCAGAGAGACTTTTTTTCAAGTTTAAATTTCAAGTTTCAAGTGTTAATTTTTATATAAAATTCTTTCCTAATTAAAAGTTTGTATTTCAAGAAAAGAGATCTACCTTTATGTTTTTTTTAAAGAAGAAAACTATGATTTTTTTTTTTTTTTTTTTTTTTGAGACAGAGTTTCGCTCTTCTTACCCAGGCTGGAGTGCAATGGCACGATCTCGGCTCACCGCAACCTCCGCCTCCTGGGTTCAGGCAATTCTCCTGCCTCAGCCTCCTGAGTAGCTGGGATTACAGGCACACGCCACCATGCCCAGCTAATTTTTTGTATTTTTAGTAGAGACGGGGTTTCACCATGTTGACCAGGATGGTCTCGATCTCTCGACCTCGTGATCCACCTGCCTTGGCCTCCCAAAGTGCTGGGATTACAGGCGTGAGCCACCGCGCCCGGCCTGATTTTTTTTTTTTTTTTAACAAATTAGGCAATATTTTTATTGTATTTTTTAATATTGCTTATTCACAAATCCTTCCATCTTTTAGATTAAGGCCAATTGTGAGTACTACTCAAGTCATTAATTTCACAATTACTATTATATTATTAAATCTCTATTTAGAGGTACTTAGTGTCATATTTTCAAAAGGAAATAGACACATGTCAATCAGGAAACGGAGGAAATGCAGCGTGAAAGGTACCATTGCTGCAGTTAACCAGAGCAGCCACTGGGTGTCTCCACCGCTTCACACCAGCCACTGTCTCTCATGGAAGTTTCCAACGAAAACGGGAGATGAAGAGCATAGCTTTATTTACAGAATTCTTAATTAGGAACTGATGCGGCATTTACTTGCCAGACATTTTATTTAGAAAGAGTTCTGCTCATGTAGGCAATATTTCCTTGCGTTCTTTGATAATTGGGCATTTGATTTGCCAAGGAGAGGAAGGGAAACATTTATTATTTTTCTTAACATCCTATCATTTCCTATTCAAATTTTTAAATCGGAAGCCAAAATTCTTCATTTGTGACATGCTGGCTATTTTCATAGCTACCATTTTCCGAGTTCTATAATGAAATGACTCCAGTAAAAGCAAGAAAAGTTACCACTAGACAGGAATGTGGTATATTTTTCTTTTGGAAAAATAGAAAACTACATTGCTACTAGCTTTCTACCTCTAAGAAATGTCACCGCATCCCAAAAGGGCTAGTGAATAGAAGAAAGAGACAGGGATCGGCCACAGAGTAGTGGAACTGGCCTCTGGGTAAGTGATCTTTAAAGCCAAGCCTCTACTGGGTGGGGTGGCTCTCACCTGTAATCCCGAGGTGTGCAGATCACTCGAGCTCAGGAGTTCCAGACCAGCCTGGGCAACATGTGAAACCCCATGTCTACTAAAAACGCAAAAATTAGCTGGGTGCAGTGGTGCACTACTGTAGCCCCAGCTATTCAAGAGGCTGAGATGGGAGAAGCGCCTGAGCCCAGAGGGATGAGGTTGCAGTGATCACGTTGCTGCACTCCAGCCTCAAAAGAAAAAAAAAAAAAAAAAAAAGCTAACCACTAACCATTCCTGGGATTGCACATCTAAACCTTGGGACTGACTATAATTTAGAAACTTAACCTCAGTTAGTATTTCTAGATCCATTAAATTTGCAATTTGTTCATTTAGGGTACATTTCTGTCTTCACCCTGACTTCTTTTAATTTTTCCACTCCAGACCTACCACTTTCTTCTGTGGCCTCAATTCCTTCTGCCGTCTACCATTGCCGTTTTCATCTTTTCTTTGCTGCCCCTTTTCATTTGCTTGGTTGAGTAGATAAATTTTGAATGAAAGTCATTGTTTTTAAAAAATCCTACTTTAGCCCCACATCATTCCATCAGAAGAAAGGAATTCTAGAAATTTAACATAAATGGTGCAAAGTTTAAAAAGCCCCTATACAAAAATACGATTGTGCACTTCAGCCAGTATTCACCGCGATGTAATACATTGGCTACATTCTGATGTACTTATCTGCTTAAGGAAACTAATGAATGGTGGAATCGGAAGAAAAAACTTGAATTCAAACAGCAGCAAAGTTATAGAGAAAATGTATTTTTCATTGTACAAACTCTAACTAGAGTAAATAAACACAGAACTAGGTGTAGGTAACAGAGCTTCATGTTGGAGAGTAGAATTTAAATATCAAGTTCACCTTATAAGGAAAATACGTAGTCATGAGTTAAAGAACACGTTGTTTTAAATATTCAAATAAATGAGGGGAAGAAGTAATAGAAGATGATGGATCCCAGATTTGACATTAATTTCATATCATGTACTTAATTCACAGGATTCTTTTCAGAAGGGGAAAGGAATGAGAACTCTCACAGGTGATCAGGGAGAGAGTGGATCTCAGCTGTCATTCTACCACGGGAAGATAAATCCACACAAAATCCTACAGAGCCTTCTGCAATTTGCTATTTTTAATATTAAATGCTACATTTTCATTTTTAAAATATAATAATGCTACATTTACCATCAATCTTCGTTTGCTTTAATTTAGACCTGAAGCTCAATTTTCCCTACTTTGCTTGTTCACTGGACAGTCTGGCTACACAGAAATTTACATCCTGAATAAAGGATTTCAGGCAATTTACTGAAGCACAGCTGCGATTTTAAGCTCATCCATTTAGCATGAAGAAACATTAAGAAAAAAGGCACATTTTCAGAGTGTATAATGCAGTTTTAAAAGATAAAGACACTTGCATGTCTGTGTTCAGCACAGCACTATCACAATAGCAAAGCCATGGAATCAACCTAAACGTCCGCCAAGGGCAGACTGGATAAAGAAAATGTGGCACATATACACTGTGGAATTCTACGCAGCCGTGAAAAAGAATGAGATCATATCCTTTGCAGGGACATGGATGGAGCGGGAGGCCATGATCCCGAGTAAACATAGAAACAAAAAACCAAATAGGCGATGTTCCCACTTATAAGTGGGAGCTAAACAACAAGAACACGTGGATACTAGGAGACGAAAAACAGACACTGGGGCCTACTTGATGGGGGGTGGGCAGGAGGGAGGGCATCGCAAAAGAATACGGCTCGGTTACTATGTTTAGTACCCAGGTCACAAAACCCCTGTTACACCCAGTCTACCTAGGTAACAAACTTGCACATGTATCCCTGAACCTGAAATACAGGTTTTTTTAAAAAAGGTAAAATAAAAATAAAGAATAATCTAAGCTATTCAAGTAACGACCCAAAAGTTTTTCTGTATGTTATGAAGAGCAGTGAATGCATTGCTAAGCAGCTAGGCTGAGATGAGGGTAAGAGGAGAGAGGTTTAGTGGTCCTGTCGTCTAGTCCTGACTCTGCTGTCACAATTTATTTCACTTCTTTGGGCTGTCAATTTTCTCATCTATAAAATTAAGCGATTGGCCGGGTGCGGTGGCTAATGTTTGTCATCACGGCACTTTGGGAGGCCGAAGTGGGTGAATCACCTGAGGTCAGGAGTTTAAGACCAGCCTGGCCAACATGGTGAAAACTCATCTCTACTAAAAACATGAAAATTAGCCGGGCAACAAAATGGGGGCAAATGCCCGTAACACCAGATACTCAGGAGGCTGAGGCAGAAGAATCACTTGAACGCGGGCCGTGGAAGTTGCAGTGAGCCAAGATTGCGCCACTGCACTCCAGGCGGGGCAACAGAGTGAGACTCTGTCTCAAAAAATAAAATAAAATAAGTTGGACTAAATGCTCTTGGTGCTAATTTTCAATGATCTGTGAAATCATAAAATAAAAGCCATAAAGACTAAAAATGTATTCTAGCTCGCATGCTTTCATTTTCTGCATGAAATAAATGCTCATTCTGATATGTTGGTAAGGAAAGTACACAGTGCTTGAATGCCCATTTTCTAGGACATAGAGCATATTTAACTATTTAGCTTATTATATAGCCATGTAGTTATAGTTTTGCCTACGTTACACATTTTGTTCAGATCTATTATTTATTTACTTCTGAGTCCTTGCTGATAGGCCCCTGCCCTGATTATGGTACTGCTTTCGTGGTGAAATAGGATCCACTTCCATGATCTGTGCCATGGAGATTCAGGAGCACGTTGTAGGGACTCTGTATGTCGGTGAATGACACGGACTATTAATACGGACAAGCTGTGTTAGAATCACCCGCAGATTATTTGGTAGTTTTTTTGTTTGTTTGTTTGTTTACTATTCCTGGGTCCTTCTGTTATAAGGATAGGACCATTTACTGAAACTGCAACCTGCAGAATCCCCCTCAATCTTTTTAATATTTTTAGCTTTTTTTTTCTAAAGTTACTCCTGCTGGAATGGGAAACTCGTCAATCTTTTATCAGGAAAACAACAACAACGGAATTTTAGAGTTTTTTTTTTTAAATTCCTGATCACAGATACAAATAATTAATGGTCTGGAAAATAGTTGAGTATAATCAAAAATATAATGCTCCTTAAAACATTGAGAGCTTTATAGTAACACAAAGGATGCCACACCCAACCCACCTCCCTAAGCCTCCCACAGTTACCAACTCTTGTCCACAATTTCAAAAAAGACAACCTAAAATTCTTTCTAAGCCTTAATTTTTGTTGAAGCCAATTTTAAAGTGTGATCAGGGATACAGACAATACATGTGCTAAAGCTAAAAATTTTGGTGATTGCCCAGGCACTTAAAATCTTTTTTTAACCAATATTTCCTTTCTAAAAATATAAATTTATATGAATAATGGATTATTTGTTATGATTTGCCTTTGAATAACCCTTTTCCCCTTCTTTGTCATGGAGGAATAATCCCAATGTGTTGCTGGGGGAGTTGTCCTACACTGTCTTATTTCAAAAGGAAACAGTCCCAGCCCGCACATTTTAGCACGCTGCTTCTCAGGAGCTTGCACTCATCCACCAATTGTATCATTTAGTTGGGATATGACAAAATTATGCTAAAACTCATGTTAAAGCTTCAGGTTTTTGTTTGTTTGTTTTTGCTGATCTACATATCAGCCTTACCTCCATGTACTTCACTAATTATATTTAAGGAATCAGAAGACTTCCTCTCTGAATTTTATTCTCGTTAATTTTTCTAGAATATTTATCTGTTAAATAAAATGAGTTGTTAGGGTATGTTAAGTGTGTAGGGCACGTAACCAGTCGACTGTCAAGGTTCTGAGTAGGTTAGATTTCATGGTCAAGCATAATCTTTAAACACTCACAATCTCACTCCTACACATTCCCAGCCCCCTGAAGTCTTTCATTCACTCCTATTCATTCTTACTTGCTCTTACTAGTAATATCTGCATTTAGATTCTCTCATCTTACCTTTCCCAAACCTCTTGCCTCACAATAAGTTTTATTTTCCCTGCTTACATTAGTTACATCTACTCTGATCTGTAGACATTTTTTTAACCCAAAACCCAGCAAAGCAAACACTGTCAACCTGTCAAAAAAAAAAAAGGGGGGGCTGCAATGGTGGAGAGCAGATAAGCAGGTGGTAATAAAGGATTCTAGTGAATCTGAGCCAGCCTGGGAACCTGCTGGGCTGGCCTGGCTCAGAGGTGGTAAGAGAAGGCAACAGGAGGCAGGAGGCGGCCCCATCCACTGTCCCTCCCCAGAGCAGGAAAGCGTGGGGGACTCCCTACCCTAAAGCACACGGGGGGAAACTATCTAAGGAAGAGTCCCAGCAAGATCAAGTATCGGTGCCACGTCCAAGGGGTCAGAGAAATGATCAGTCAGGGTGGTAGGGCCACGAGTTTACCTTGTGGTTTGGCTCTATGTCGGTGTATGGAAGTGCCGACAGCTGAGCTGAGAGCTGCCAAGAGAGGCAGAGAGCAGGTGTGTCAGAGATTTGGGGCCTGCACGGAAGCGAAATGTGATGGCAGAAGAAGACGCCACAGGAGTTGTTGAGGCGTCAGTTGGAAAGTGAACAGCAGAACTGGCAGTGGCTGCTGGGCCTGTTGGGGCACAAGGAATGACAAAGACGGGCAGCTGCAAGGCAAGACAGACCAGATTGGCCAGTACAACAGCAGAGGGCCACACTGGGCTTTAATTCAGGAATCCTGGTGGAGGCAATAACGAGAGGAAAGATGAGACACAGTAGGTAAGTCAAGGTAGCGGTCAGGATCGACGGAGACAGGCTGGCCAGATGGCTGTTCATTGAGTGGTGTGTCCGGCTTTCCAGCATCAACTGGATAGCCGAATGACAATGTGAGTCACCTTAAGCCAAGGTCAATTTTACTCCTCTACTTTGCTGGGGATCAGAATCATTAACTGCGTCAATAACGCCCACATTCGACTCATCCTACAATGGAGGCAATTGTAACTTTGGCAAAACCAAGGAACTTTTTTTTTTTTGAGACAGAGTCTGGCTCTGTCACCCAGGCTGGAGTGCAGTGGTGCAATCTCAGCTCACTGCAGCCTTCACCTTCCAGGTTCAAGCAGTTCTCGTGCCTCAGCCTCCCGCGTAGCGGGAACTACAGGTGTGTGCTGCCAAGCCCGGCTAATTTTTGTATTTTGTAGTAGAGACAGATTTTCACCATGTTGGCCTGGATGGTCTGGATCTCCTGACGTCGTGATTCACCTGCCTCGGCCTTCCAAAGTGCTGGGATTACAGGCATGAGCCACCGCGTGAGACAGAACTTTTTTTCTGTTTTTTGAATGGCGTCTTGCTCTGCCGACCAGGCTCAAGTGCAGTGGTGCAATCTTGGCTCACTGCAACCTCCTCCTCCCAGGTTCAAGCGATTCTCCTGCCTCAGCCTCCTATGTAGCCGGGGTTACAGGCGCACACCACCACTCTAGGCTAAATTTTGTATTTTAGTAGAGATGGAGTTTCACCATGTTGGTCAGGCTGGTCTCGAACTCCGGACCTCGTGATCCACCCACCTTGGCCTCCCAAAGTGCTGGGATTACAACATGAGCCACTGTGCCCAGCCGAACTATTTTTTTAACTGATGCACATTAATAAGATTTAGAAAATCTTGAGATTTAACTGACAGTGTTGAGATTCGTACAACTTTATGTTGAGAATTCTCTTTCCAGGAATTATTTCAATTAGTCACATTTTTATCTTCTACCGAAGTGTCAGTTTAGTGTAAATAACTGCCATTTGAATACTAACTTGTATAAAAAAATACAAAAAGATTGTTTATGTGTGTGTGTGTACACATACGTGTCAAGACTAAAAACTAAGCACTGGCTTAAGTCTTTGGCAAAGGACAAGCAGTTGGCAAGTTCGCAAGTTAGAATTTGTAATTCCATCCCGAAGTGGACTAAATCGTCAGTTTAAAAAGATTGTGAGTGTCAGCACATGCAGAGGTCATCCTGTGTCAATGTCGTTACAGTTTGCAAGTCCTGTGTCAATTCACGTTGTAGCCCACGGGTACTAATGACTTCGCCTAAAGGAGATGTTCAGAAATGGAAGTGTAAACTCAACCCTAGTTGATCAATATGCTGATTGTGTTTCCTCGTTGTGATTCAAGCGAATATTTGATTATCTTTGGGTTGATCCGTAGTATATTCAGCAGTATCATGAGCACATAATTTTTGTTGATGGTTTGTCCAAAGTTTCTATCAATCCATCCTACCAGCATTGCTGCCTGAGTTATAACAGCTGCCCCGAGAATCTTGTCTGAACGACAAGTTAACTGCTGTTCCCAGTTATATCTGGTCTTTCCCACCCCCAAACATACACAAAAGATTTTTGTCATTCTTGGCATTGGACAGCAGAAGTGGTAAGACATGCCAGCAGAACTCCAAAGGCAGACTGTCCTTCCACCTGTTTTATGCTACAAGACAAACTTCCAAGTGCGAGGCGGCGTGGAGAGCTGTTTCCTTGAATGGCAGCTGAATGTGCCAGCGGGATCCTTGGCAGCAATGCCCAGGCACTGAAGCCGGGCATTCAGGAGAGCTAAATGGAGAACAGAGACTTGAGCAAACTGCTTCCTGGAACACTGAGAACCTGAATGGGAAATTAAGAAGAACCAGATTCTTTCTCTTCTTCCACCAGCCAAGGTCAGATTTCCAAACTCCTATTGATTCTAATCTTTCCCAAACAGTGCTGTGGCAATGTATGAAAGTAATAAAAAAATCCTTTTTCTGTTTAAAAAAAAATGCTGTTACTTGCTGTTTTGTTATGCTCTTGCTTGAGAATTTTTTCCCCCCATCTTAAAGCAACAACTTCAGGATGGGGAAATCGAGCAAAACCATGGTGAAGAGATTCATTTAAAGAGGACAAGTGACTTATGCTACATCTCAGGAGACAGTTCCCTAAGGTGAGAGGTGTTGGCAACGCCAGCTTGCATGTTGCCTCTTAGCAAAAAGCTGGTGCGAATCATCCCTAGTTTGGGAGACTTTGAGCCAGGAATAACTGTCACAGTAAAAGACCCATTAACAGTAAGGAGGGTAAATGGATAGCAAAAAACCTAGGGGAATCCACAGGCTTTTGTTAATTCCATTCCATCTGCTTGGTGTTTCTGGAACTCTGCTTTCAAACTTAGAATACCCAGAATCCCAACAGTTGAGGAAAGTAATAACCAGTGTCTGGTGGCGAGGGTGGGGAGGAGAGCAACGGTGGAAAGATGAGAATTCTTCCAGTTATTTTCAGTTTTTCCTGAAACTGAGGCTCCCTGAAACTCTAAGTTTTGTTTGTTTGTTTGTTTTGTTTTGTTTTGTTTTTTTGAGACAGAGTTTTGCTTTTGTTACCCAGGCTGGAGTGCAATGGCACAATCTCGGCTCACCACAACCTCCGCCTCCTGAATTCAGGCAATTCTCCTGCCTCAGCCTCCTGAGTAGCTGGGATTACAGGCACGCACCACCATGCCCAGCTAATTTTTGTATTTTTAGTAGAGATGGGGTTTCACCATATTGACCAGGATAGTCTCGATCTCTTGACCTTGTGATCCATCCACCTCGGCCTCCCAAAGTGCTGGGATGAAACTCTAAGTTTTTAGGAAACTTAAAGATAAGTGTTTGTTTACTTAAAATACAGCCTGAAGAATACTTTTAGTTTTAAAAAAATTCTTGACTCTTTGATTTCCTCTTGGGAAGATTATTATTTAACAAAAATATTTATTTATAAACAAAATCTTTTAGAAGAGGATTCTGTGGAGGAAATAGTCGTAAAAGGACTTTTCGGCGGTGATGAGATGAGAAACACCGCCCTAAAGAAAACTGTGTAAGGGGCATCGTTTTCCAAATTGTTTTCATGAAAAATTTACAAGCAGTGGCTAACTTCCCACTGTACTGTGTATCTAATTCAATCAAAATATTGAAGATTCAAAAAGACCGTAGCCCAGGCACGGGGGCTCACACCTGTCATCCCAGCACTTTGGGAGGCTAAGGTGGGCGGATCACCTGAGGTCAGGAGTTTCAGACCAACCAGCCTGATCAACATGGAGAAACGCCATCTCTACTAAAAATACAAAATTAGCCAGGTGTGGTGGTACATGCCTGTAATACCAGCCACGCGGGAGGCTGAGGCAGAAGAATTGCTTGAACCCGGGAGGCAGAGGTTGCATGAGCCATTGCACTCCAGCTTGGGCAACAAGAGCAAAACTCTACCTCAAAAAAAAGGAAAAAAAGATTGTGACAGTGGTTGTGGGAAATTCCAGACTTGCTGCCACCAGCAGAGCCTTCCTTTATGGAGTGTCTAAGTGCGGGCGTAACAAATCCCAGACACCAGCTTTAGTGGCCAGTGGTTTCAGGAAATAGTAAAAAGTCAGTAAAAGTCTTGCTTGAACCAGGAAGCCTCCTCATAGAGTTGTGAATTCTTCAGAGAGGTTTTACCAAAGTAGGGGCACAATGTGCATGCCTGCCGTCTTTCGGGAATTCAGGAAACGTAGGCAACCGTGTTTATTATTCGCCCTCCTCTCCTTCCATGAGCAAAAACAAAATTATGTGCAATGGTTGAAGCGCATTCAACCATGACATTATCAGACATTGCTCATGGACCTGTCACATGGCAGGCTGTGTGCTAAGGGCTGGGCATGTGAAGATGGGTAAATGTACACTGTCACAGTCAGGACTGGTAACGACTGGCCCGGGGCTCACCTGCGTTGCCTGGATAACAAGCCAATTGGCACTGAGGCTCTCAGTCTTATCCCCACATGAGGGCTCCATCCAAACAGCCCATGAGACCAGTTTCTTCCTTCCATGGACCCCAGTGCCTTTAGGTGCTGAACAGCTGACTTTCCCAGGCAACTCAGAGAGCTGGTGTCTAACCCCACACTGATGTTACTGAAGAAGGCGGATTATCCTCCCACCCACCAGGTTGTTCCCACTCTTGCCCTATAAGGAGAGCAGCAAGGGGACAAAACCCCTCCCCTGAGATGCCCACCAACTGTGCATCCAACATACAACTTTGGCCCGTCTCTTCTCTTTGTTACTTCTTGCTTTGTAAATTTCCTCCAGTAGAGCCCATGAGATGTCATGGAAATAATCACAAAATAACAAACCTTTTTTGTGTGACAGGTGATGAGCACAAAAGGACCCATCTTTTTTTTTTTTTTTTTTTTTTTTTGAGACAGAGTTTTGCTCTTGTTACCCAGGCTGGAGTGCAATGGCGCCATCTCGGCTCACCGCAACCTCTGCCTCCTGGCTTCAGGCAATTCTCCTGCCTCAGCCTCCTGAGTAGCTGGGATTACAGGCACGGGCCATTGTGCCCAGCTAATTTTTTATATTTTTAGTAGAGACGGGGTTTCACCATTTGACCGGGATGGTCTCGATCTCTCGACCTTGTGATCCACCCGCCTCGGCCTCCCAAAGTGCTGGGATTACAGGCGTGAGCCACCACGCCCGGCCAAATGGACCATCTTATGCAGCGCTTGGCAGCTTCTGTAATACTACTCACCATGCTGCTGACATCACATGTTCCAGAACCAATCCTGTCCTTTGACAAGAAGGATTTCATTATCAGTTCCGGTGGCGACTGGCTAGAGAGAGGAAGAAACACTTCAGGGACTCTGCCGCCATGCCCAGATGGGGAGTGCAGAGTTTGTACCACGGGACTCCAGGGTTCCTTCTCTAGCAGCTACCCTGTGGCAGTGCCTATTTGGAACCTCCCTTAACTGCTGACTGCATAGATGTTTGCTTCATTTGTCCATCTGTTTGATCACTATTAGAGCTGTTTTAAGCCTTAAGAGAGATAGTGGACTAGAAGGTACCTTGGAAAAGTATAAAGCTCCATCCAAGTAACGTAACTTGAATATCAAATATGTATTTACTACCGATTATCAGTTCCATTCTTTTTTTCTGTTTTTAAACTGGGAACTTATAAAGCCTAAAATATAAAATGTGTATACATGGATATGCTCTGAAGTGAGGTGGAGGGATAGAAATTGACATTGTGGTATTGCTCTATAGCTTTGCAAGATGTTAGCATTGGGAGGAACTGCTTGAAGGCTACAAGGGAAAGCTCTGTCTTATTACTTACAACAGCATGTGAATGTACAGTTATCTCAAAATAAAAATCTAATTAACAATAAATAAATCCAGAGCGTGGATTTCTTATCCTGTCATTTTCCTCCTCCTGAAATTGCAGAATAGCCAAACAGAAACCTCCCCATGACCACCAGCTGAGATTCACTGGTGCCCGTATTAGTGGACACAGGCAGGTGCATCATGGGGCCTCCAGTCATGCATAATGGAAGATACCAACTCAACTGATATAAGCAAAGGAAAATACAGTGTATTAGATAATGACACCTCTCGAGCAGGGTAGTCGTAGGGTCAGCTGATTCAGCAGCTTGATTCGTAATCAAGAGCCCAAATTCTTTTCCACTTTCTCCCCTGCCATCCTCAGCCTATCAGTTTCATCCTTCAGGTGGCTCAAAGGTAGTTGCAAGGTGGCTGCTATCATGCCACGTCCTACATGCAGATGTGAAAAGTATCTCTTTTCAACAGTCTCATTTTAAGCGCAAGGAAACACCTGCAGGCCTTTCTGCGTCTTTTGACACTTGTTTTATTGTGGAACAAGTCACAAACACCTCTTTAAGTGGGTCACTTGGCCAGGAGGGAGAGCTTGCCATTATCCTTAGATGGAGGAGAGGAGGGGTGAGGTGGTTACCCCTGAACCTGGTCAGTGTTCTGCAGAGATGGGGTGATAAATAGGCAATTCCTTGCCAAGGAGCCACGGTAAAGCTTCAGGCCAGCTCAGAGGGTGACGAAGAGCAAGAAGAACAACCAGAAGGAACACACTTTTACAGCCTGCTTCTGATTCCACACCATGAGGACAGCAGGGCAGCATGCCACACCGGTCCAGGAACTCAGAACTAGGTAAGGAGCAAGGGAGAAAGGATGCTGTAACTGAAACACAGAGAATGAACTTTCTCCCAGGTGGCTTCAAGGGCTGTCCTTCTAAAAGATCTTGTCCTGGGTTTAAAGGTTAGCAAATGTTTTGTTTTGTTTTGTTTTGCCTGCATGAGGGTTGAGTTAAAGCAAAATAATGTTTAAGGGTTAGTTTTAAAATAAAATATTTTATGTTTTTGGTTTTTTGGGTCAATAGAGACAGGGTCTCTCTGTGTTGCCCAGGCTGGTCTTGAACACCTGGGCTAGAGCAATCCTCCTGCCTCAGCTTCCCAAAGTGCTGGCATTACAGGCATGTGCCACCACACCCAACCTCTTAGAAGTGTTTTTACAAATGAGAACATGCAACAGTTGCCTTTCAGACTATTTATTTCCTGGTCATCAAAGATTTCTTTCTTTATTTACCCAAAGGGGACAGGGGTCAGTCTGTTTATTGGAAGATGTGCCCATATTTGGTCATATATTGGAGGAGTATACAATTGTCCAAATAAGGGATATTTATTGCCTTCCTGACTGCAGACTCAAGGAAGCAGGGAGTCTGACGTTTTCTCCAATGCCTGTCTGTACCCACATTCACTGTCACAGAGTACATGCTTAATAAATACTGATTGAACTAATTTGAAAATTTGATTCTCTACTCCAAAACTGTGAAAACCTGGAAGGTATATTCTTGCTGGGGGGCAGCATGAACAAGACAGGAAGGGAGCTGAAGATGTCTCTCTCAGTCATTCCCTGTGTCTGTCATATGCCCCACATGCATAGTCCTAAATGCCACTGTCTCTCAGTTGGCTTCTACCAGGACTCAAGCCCCGTGGAGACAGCAGCTTGTAGAGTCTCAATCCCAGGGCAGCAAGAAGGTGAGCCAGGGGGAATCCTCCAGCTCGGGGAAGGTCTTCCCCATCTATGTACTGGAGGAAGGAGGAAGTGGGACAGTCATTCACCAGTCTAAATCTTACTGCTAAAATTAGACCGAGTGCCACATCTCCAAACCTGGAGACCCATGGTATCTGTCACACAGGCCAAAAATTGTTCTTCCCAGGGTGTGGACAGTGGAAGCTGTATAAACGCTGACCAGTGAGTTCATCTACATTTTAAAAGGGTGAAGAAAATTGTGATTCTTTTCTCCTGAAGGAACTTTACAAATGACCTTGACAAAAACTCCTCAAAACCCATAGAACCAAATTTCATAATGCTCTTTTTATTCCCTTGCTTCTATTCCCTCCTTTCTCTTCTTTTTCTATTTCTTTTCTGCCCTCGTTTCCTATTTCTTAACGTTGCTCCCTCTTTCTTCCTGCTTGTCCAGGCTTTTTTCCTTTTCCCACTTTACGGTGATACTTTGGAACTGAAAGTATAGTTTAGTATTTATCTAAAGCAGTTGTTTCTTTGTCCATGGTTCCCCGAGCCTTCATAGAAAATAATTCTTCCATCCTAACTTGACTTTATGATAGTTACCCACACACTTAAGGATACAAATGTGTTCACATTGAATACAATAAAAGGAAAAATAATAATCATATGGAGACTAGCATTGAAGCATTCCAGCCTCTACTATTTTAAAATTAGGGTTCAACTTGATGCCACTTATATCTGAACTCCTAAAATTACAACCATCATCTGTGTTGTACAGGCTTCCTCTATCTATGCAGACATTTCCTGTTCTGTCTTCTCTTTCCCCAGAGGCTCATTACAACCTGCTTGCTGTTGGTTGGAGTTTATATCTGGGGAAGAGGGGACTGAGAAGCGGAGGAAGGGAGGAAGGCATGAGATCTTGGGCGTAACCTCAATTGGCGTGTTTACTCTCATCCGACTGGGTTGACTTTAGAATGAAAATGTCTCCCCACTTAATTAATTTAAAATTAGTCATTCAAATATGTTTTTCCAAACTCCGTGTATCCATTTACAATTACGTATGTCACGCTTGTGCACATCACCGGTTCTCAAACCCCAGAGCCACAGCTCTGAGGTCAGCAATTCCAGCAAACCTTTATATAGTGCTTCCCATGTGCCAGGCACTGTGCAAAGCTCTTCATGTGTATCAAATTATTTCATCCTTCAACAGCTCTACAAGGAAGGTAGCTTAGTCAGCTCGGGCTGCCATAACAAAACACCATGGACTCGGTGGCTTAAACAACAAACATTTATTTTCCCACAGTTCCAGAGACTGGAATTTCAAGACCAAGGTATCAGCGGAGCTGGTGTCGGGTGAGGGCTCCCTTCACAGGGGGCAGACAGCCGCATTCTCAGTGTGTGCTCCCCTGGCCTTCCTCTGTGCTCCTTAGAGTGAGTGAGCTCTCCGGTGTCTCTCCTCATAAGGATACTAATTTACGGGCTCAGGGCTCCATCTTTACCATTCATCCAGCCTTCACTACATCCTTAGAGCCGCCATATCCAAATACAGCTACATGGGGGTTAGGGCTCCAGCATATGCATTTCAGGGGACACAAACATTCAATCCACAATGGCAGGTAATATTGTCCTCCCCATTTTTCAGATTAGGAAACTGAGGCCAGACAGGTTGAGTAATTTGCCCAATGTCGCACAAACACTAAGTGGGAACACTGGGACATGAACTCCAGCATACATGCTCTTTTTTTCGTTTTGTTTTGAGACGGAGTTTCGCTCTTGTTACCCAGGCTGGAGTGCAATGGTGCGATCTCGGCTCACCGAAACCTCCGCCTCCTGGGTTCAGGCAGTTCTCCTGCCTCAGCCTCCTGAGTATCTGGGATTACAGGCACGCACCGCCATGCCCAGCTAATTTTTTTTGTATTTTTAGTAGAGACAGGGTTTCACCATGTTGACCAGGATGGTCTCGATCTCTTGACCTCGTGATCCACCTGCCTCGGCCTCCCAAAGTGCTGGGATTACAGGCTTGAGCCACCGCACCCGGCCGCATCCATGCTCTTACCCACTAGGCTGTGTTCTCTCACACCATGAGTCATGATGATGATCACGACTCATGATCTGACATCTAGCAGCCCATCAACATCATCAACATCTAACAAACCTAAACCTTTGAGCCTATTATAGAATCATCAAGAGTTTTGCCATGCTTCTTAGAAAAAAATTCCCTACAAGAATACAATCTCTCACTATTATTATTGTTTTAGAAATAGACTTCTATGTAACCAATTTGGAAAAAGTAACATATTTACTATCAACTGGCTGTTAAAATGCTTATACATCTTGATTAGTAAACAAACCTTCTCTATTTCTATATTCAAACTATTCAAACTCAACAATAAGAAAACAACTCATTTGAAAAGTGGGCAAAAGATCTTGACAAGACACATCATCAAAGAAGATATGCAGGTAGTAAATACGCATATGAAAAGATGCTTCACATCATACGTCATCAGGAAAACGCCAATTAAAACAATGAGGTACCACTACACGCACCTTTAGGAATGGCCAAAATCCAGAACATGAGCACCTCAAATGCTGCCACGGATGAGGAGCAACAAGAATTCTCATTCATTGCTTGTGAGAATGCGAAATGGTACAGCCACTTTGGAAGACAAGTTGGCAGTTACTTATAAATTTAAGTTTCCATATCATAACACAAGTAGATGTAAATATAACCAGTGGTAGGTTTTTTTTAGACGCTCTATTACTTTTTAAGGATTTAAAGCTTTTTAACCCCAATTTCTACTCGTAAAGCTGGAACATTATAATTTGATGAGATTACCCTTAGAATTCTTGCCAGTCAATGAAGAAACCGCTTTTACACCAACTTACAGCTTGTGCTGTGTTTAAATACACACTGAGGGGAATCTGATGAACTGTCTGGTGACAGTCAGGGTTTTCAGTTAAAGGAGGTGAGCGGAGCAGTGTATCAGATGAGAGCAAAGGTTCGGGAATCTGGATAGCCAGGCCTGAATCTTGACTCTGCTGGGTCCTTGAGCGAGTCGCTTAACCTGTCTACGCTGTTTCCTCATTTGTAAAATGAAGTTATAGTAGCTTCTACTTTATGTGAGGATTGACTGGGAGGCTCCACGTTGAGTATAAATTAAATAGCACCTGGAATTAAGTATTCACTAAAGAACTGTGGGTTTCTTAACTGTAAATTTCCAAAGAGTATTTTTTATTTTTTAAGAAGTATTTTTATTCCCCAAACTCTCTAACAGGAAGTGACATCTTCATTGTTAAGTGAAAGAATGATAAATGTTTTGAGACATCAATGTTCCACCCCAGCTCATTCTCAGTATTACTATTTTCACCAGGGAACAGTAGACGTGATATGGGAGGTGAGCAAGGAAGTACTGGGGAGAGAAGGGCGGGGTTCCTGGAGAGGGCTCCACCCTCAGGTTTATGCCCAGGGACCTAAGTGAGAACAGGCACTCCTGTTTTTATGCCCAAATGTTGCATTTTTCAAGACCACTCTGGCCCACCACACCCCCCATCCTGTGCCCATAAAAGCTCTGAGACCCTAGTGGACATGGACACAAGCAGTTGGATGTGGAGAGGAGCCGAGGATCAGAAGAGCACACGAACAGGCCCCAGCAGATGCCCAGCAGGCCACTGAGGCTGGATGATGCAGAAAATTCGGACAAGGGCAGTCAGAGGAGAGTCCAGCCGCTGGACAGCCCGACTCCAGGGGAAGACTGCCTTCCCACTCCATCCCCCTTCTGGCTCCCCATCTACCTTGCTGAGAGCAACCTCCACCACTCAATAAAACCTTGCACCCATCTTCCAAGCTCAAGTGTTATCCAATTCTTTCTGGTACACTAGGGCAAGAACTGGGGATAAGAAAGCCCGGGCTGGGTGCAGTGGCTCACGCCTATAATCCCAGCACTTTGGTAGGCCAAGGCGGGTGGATCACGAGGTCAAGAGATCGAGACCATCCTGGTCAACATGGTGAAACCCCGTCTCTACTAAAAATACAAAAATTAGCTGGGCATGGTGGCACGTGCCTGTAATCCCAGCTACTCAGGAGGCTGAGGCAGGAGAATTGCCTGAACCCAGGAAGTGGAGGTTGCGGTGAGCCGAGATCGCACCATTGCACTCCAGCCTGGGTAACAAGAGCAAAAATCCATCTCAAAAAAAAAAAAAAAAAAAGTCCTCATCTTTGTGACCAGGCGGAGGGTCTAAATGAGCTGATTAACGCAAGCTGCCTGCAGACGTCAAAACCAAAAGAGCGCACTGTAGCACACGCCTCCTGGGGCTTCGGGAGCTGCAAACACTCAACCCTAGACACTGCCAAGAGGTCAGAGCCCAGAAAAGCTCCCCACAACCTGCTGTCTGCATGCTCCCCCCAGGGGTTTGAGCAGTGGGACACTGAAGAGGTGAGCCACAACCCTGTCACCTGTCCTGCAAGAGGGATAAGGGAACTTTCTGCAGAAGTTCTATTTTCAGGCAAAACCGGGCCTCACATGGGCAAGAACGTAGCTAGATCTCAGGCCTTGCTCTTAAACTGCAGCTAGGTACCCCAGCCCTGCACAGGAAGTGGGGAGGAGCTCTTGCTTCTTCCCACAACAAACAGGTTCTCACACGTGCAGCTCCTGTAAATTACACGACATCAATGTGTATATAGGTTCTGTCTTTTGGGGGAAAGACATTGTAACGTGGAGCATTTCTCTTAGAATCTACTTAAAACCAGATATTTCAGTTATTAGAGTGAATTAACACTACCAAGTAGCATATAAAACACACTTGGACTGGTCGAAATGAAGTGTAGACTGTTAGTGTAGACACCCATCAGCACACCTACACTCCCATAGACACAAGAGTATCTGTTTGCCTCTGTTGATATGGTTGGGAAGTTTTGCTCTGTGACTTGGGGAGTAGAAAGAAGGGTTGCTGAGACAGCTAAGAACCAGGAGGAGGAGGTTGGAAGGATGGTATGGATTCTCTTCCTTCCTAGGTCTTTGGATTTGGTTTTAGACCCCAGTGGTTAGATGCATAAGAGCCAGAAAGTAGGGAAACTGCCCACAAAAACGCCTTTATGGTTCTCAGTTCCAAGCATCATTGCCTCAGCTTCCAGGTGACAAAGTTTAGTTTAGAGCTGAGGAGAGAGGCCATTTTCCCTGCTTGTGCATAAAACCCCACTCTGCTCCGACAACCCAAGGACCGGCCGGGCTGGCAGGCCACGGCAAGATGCATGGCACTGGCTTCCTCTTCTTCGGTGAAAGTCACCTGGGGTACAGACAGTGGGTCCAGCACTGGGGGAGGCATGGTGACGTTCCTGACAGACTCCTCCCAGAACCTACACCCACTTCCGGTGGACTGGTTTCCCCTGACCCCACCAGGCAGAACTGGGCCGGACTGTGTGTTTGGCTTAATCAGCACTGCTTCCACGGAGGCTGTGACAGCACGGAGGATTTCCAAGTGGCCCTGAAAACCTGGAGGAACCAGAGCAGGAGAGAAAGGACCAGGTAGAGCTATGTGGCTATGGCAGCTGGTGTGTATAAGCATGAATGGCACAGCCCATTGGAGAAGCCCAGAAATAGCTGCAGGACACTGAGGTCAAGCTAGGAGCATGTTGTTACCTTTGTAATTTGGACATCAAAGGGAAATGTACCCTGATTTTATATGGTCTGGAAACACCTGGACATGCTGTAATTATACTACAATTGCAATTAATGGGTTACTTTACGAGTAACCTGATCTCATGAAAAAAAATTGGTGGCTTACAATAGAATAAGGAGATTGGTGACTTATTAAAATAAGGGGGCCGGGCACGGTGGCTCAAGCCTGTAATCCAAGCACTTTGGGAGGCTGAGGCGGGTGGATCATGAGGTCAAGAGATCGAGACCATCCTGGTCAACATGGTGAAACCCCGTCTCTACTAAAAATACAAAAAATTAGCTGGGCACGGTGGTGCGTGCCTGTAATCCCAGCTACTCGGGAGGCTGAGACAGGAGAATTGCCTGAACCCAGGAGGCGGAGGTTGCGGTGAGCCGAGATTGCGCCATTGCACTCCAGCCTGGGTAACAAGAGCGAAACTCCATCTCAAAAAAAAAAATTAAAAAAAAAAAAAAAATAAGGGGATGACAGCCATAGCCAAAATGTCTATGAATCTGAAAAACCAAGACTCAAGCAAAGAACGTTTAAATTGGATTATGCAAAAAAGAGGAAAAACACAAGCCCTGGAAGAATGAAACCTGCTTCACTGGGTACCTTTTAAGCACAAGTTTCAGCATTTCTTTCCAAGGAGAACTTATGGCTGGACATCCAGATGGAAGAGGAACTGAGGACTTGTGTTGGACGTTACATGCTACTCTACTAAAGACTGGGGAAAACGTCAGCTGTTCCTAATGAAGGATGAGGGGAGATGGACAGCAGCACCGTTGCCATCACTGTTGATTCCAGAGTGTCCTGAGCATTCGAGCCACCTCCAAACATTCTTGTGAAGCACTGCAAGATGCATGGCACTGGCTTCCTCCTCTCAGGTGAGAGCCACCTGGGGTGCAGACAGTGGGTCCAGCACCCTGGGAGACATGGTGACAGCCCTGACAGACTCCTCCCAGAATCTACACACATTTCCAATGGACTGGTGACCCCCACACCCCCACCAGGTTCCGATGAAAAACACCTTCTAAAGAACTGTCTCTTCTTAGAACAGCCTCCCTGAGCACAGGAATCAGGGCAGCAATCAGCGGCAGCTCAGCTTGACTGTCCCCTGCTGCCTATGTACGTCCCTTCAGTAACTAAGTTGTTTTTACCATCCTTTGGGTGTTAGCTGGTGAGAGTCATGGTCTCAGGGAAGCCTACACTGACTAGGCTAGGCCTTGTGTTGCCTTCTTTACTTCTTCATAATGAATGACGGTTGACATAAATTGTGAATTGAATTAGTACAGATAATACAGGGAGGGATCATGCCCATGCACGTTGTTCACTGATGGCCCTTCAAGGCCTAGCACAGTGCCTGGAACCCAGTAAATGGTAACATTTGTGAATGTCAGCATCTCTACACGGCTTACAGCTTAGGCTAAAGCACTCGATGTATTACCCACTCCTGCTGTTCATATTTTTAACTAGTTATTTTTTAGTATTATATAAGCAACGTGAATACAAGTTCATTGTAAAAAAAGTTCAAACACATATAAAAGCTACAGTCTTTTATATATAAATTATGCCACAATAAAGCTACTTTTAAAAAAGCCATGGTCCCCCTTCAAAACTCCACACCAACCCAGTCCCATTCCTTTCCCAGACACAAACTCCAGAGTGTTTTAGTCAGAGTGCAATTAGGAGGCAGAGCCATGCCGGATATGTCATTGCAAACAGAGGGAATTTAACGCAGATGGTGGGGGAGTTCAGTGGCCAGAGAGCAGCAGGAAGCCGCTATCAACCATGGGGCTGGGGAGGTAGGGGGAGGAAGAAGAGTTACCAGAGCTCAGGAGTTTGGGTCACCTGGAAGGATCTGGGAACACGGCAGCACCTCCAGCTCAGTCTGGAGCAGTGGACGAGGGGGCTATCTGGCAGCAGGTGGAGACATGGACAAGACCTGTCAGACAACATGTGAAGCAGAGAGCAAGGGAGACATAACCTGGCTTCTTCCCTTCTCGCATTCTCCAGTGTCCATCCCTGGCTCTCTTTAGCCGGTCTGGAAATGAGCCTGGAAAATGTAGTTCCCAAGGATACAAAGCCCAGATAGAGGATGGTCTGGAATAGATCTGAGAGCAAGCAGACAAAAGGCCGGCATATGAAGTTTAAAATAAAACACATAAATAGCATCATGGCATATGTAATGTTCTAAATTTATCACTTACCATTTTTACAGAGATAAAATCTTATTAAAATGGCCATGGAGAGCAGGCTTGATCCACAGAATGAAGGGTACAGCAGGAGAGCACAGAGGCAGACAACGAAGAGAGACACGCTACAGAAGGGCAGCCCCGGGGCTGGGTGGGTGCAGGTCTTGTTCCTGGGGAACCAGGCCTGATCTACTCTGCAGAGTGGGAGGAGGGCAGGGGGCTGAGCTGACCATAGCTCCCAGTAGGATCGAAGACTCAGAAAGTTTAGAACCTGAAGGGAACTTAGGTCTCCCATTTCAACTCACGATTTCTACAGAATAAGGAACTGAAATGCAGAGAGTGATGGGCCCGGAAGCCCAAAGTAACAACTCAGCCAGTTGTTTTTTTTGTCATTTTTGGTTTTTCGGGGCATGGCGAAGGAGGTGTTAGGGGACAGTTTAGCAGCGATTCCTTCTCTTTCTGCTGTGAGTCACTGAGCAGCCTAGCAGGAAGGCTGTGCAGAGAAATGAGGAGCTCTAGAGCAGTCACGCTTGTCTGTCCTGCCTGGGGGCTGCTGTTAGACAGCTGACACGTCTGCGAAGCGGAGTCACCAAAGGACATCTTTTTCTTAGAGACTCCCCTAGCCTCCAGTCTGGTTTTAATTGTCTTCGGCATAATCTTGGAGCCTCCAGTAGTTCCCAGGGACTATGCTAGATACAAAGATGAATGAGATGAGATAATGAACAAGAGACATGTTTCCGGGAGCGCTAAGCCTCACAGGGAAGCAGAAGTGAATTCAGGGGAGCATGGTGCAATGTGGTCAATGCCTGTGGCAGAGAAGAGGAGTGGGTAATTGCTAGGGGACGCAAAAGCAGGGAGCTGGGCAAAGAAGACTTCACAAAGGTGACAGCAGAGAAGGTGCCGAAGGAGGAATAGGAGCTCTTCAGACCACAAACCCCAATGTTAGCACCTGGATTAGGCCAGCCTTCCCCAAACACCACTGCTATTTCTCAAGGATTTACGTAGAAACTGTTCTTGCCTATTTACCTCTCATTATGTAATGGGACCCCCCACACACACACATACACACATATTTGAAAGTATATGATAGATGAAGCGAGTTCACTGCCTCATCAATCATGATCAGCAGAACCAGATTAAGACCTTCAGGGACTCTGCACACTGAAACGTCACTGGTGCTTCATGTGTAATTGAGTGTGGGTAAAAACGCCATCACACACAGGCCTGTAAGGAAGCCCAGCGAAGTTCTGCTTTTTCCTACAGTGAGACCTTTTCTGTTTTTGAAAATATCAGATAGCCAGCTATCACCCAGGTAATGCTATTCTGATTCTCTTGGTGTCCCTCTCTGCCAGTGCTCAGGCTTGCGTATGGGTGATCCTGCACTGAGGCAGCCCCTTCCCACACCAGAAACCCCTGGTAAGGTTGACCTCATAAGTTCGTATTCCTATTCTTAACCAAATGGATGTAAAGTTGTTCTGTCACTTCCTCACAGCACATGCCTTATGACTTTGTTCTTTGTCCCTTTCTGTCAACAAACACTCAGCCTGCAACCCAGGAAGGCCACCTGAGGATCCAGTGGTCTGGTTAACCATAAAGAAAGACTGATGTGAGAAATGCTATTTCCTTATACTAAGCTCAGCTGCTTGTAGCAAGAGGAAGACCACGTGACAGTGAGGTGCGTATGAGCACAGACTTTAAAAACGGCGGCGGCGGGGTTCAACGTTTGCTCTTTCACTTAACCATTTGATCTTGGGCAAGTTACCTTACACCTGTAAGCCCAATTTTTATCATCTATAGAATGTGCTTAATAACAGCACCAGCTGGGCATGGTAGCTCAAGCCTGTCATCTCAGCACTTTGGGAAGCCGAGGCAGTGGATCACCTGAGGTCAGGAGTTCAAGACCAGCCTACCCAACGTGGCGAAAACCTGTCTCTACTAAAAGTACAAAAAAACAGCCAGGCATGGTGGCAGGCACCTGTAATCCTAGCTATTCTGGAGGCTGAGGTAGGAGAATCGCTTGGACTGGGGAGGCGGAGGTTGCAGTGAGCTAAGATCGTGCTACTGCACTCCAGCCTGGCGACAGAGCAAGACTCCGTCTCAAAATAATAATAATAGCACCTACCTCGTGAGGTCATTTGTTGAACAAATATTTAGTATACTGTTACCATGTACCAGGCACTATCCTTGAACAAGGGATACAGCAGTGAGCAAACAAAGCCTTTCCCTAGAGCTTACGTTCCAGTGGAAAAGGATAGACAACAAAAATAAATATGTATCATGTATATATTTAATTATATAAAATTATATATCATGTTAGAAGGGAAAGATCTAGGCAACATTGGGGAGGGCTTTCATTTAATTTTAAATTTAAATTTAATTTAATTTATTTATTTTTGAGACAGAGTCTCACTCTGTCACCCAGGCTGGAGTGCAGTGGAGCGACTCAGGTCACTGCAACCTCTGCCTTCCAGATTCAAGCAATTCTCCTGCCTCAGCCTCCAGAGTAGCTGGGATTATAGGCGCCCACCACTATGCCCAGCTAATTTTTGTACTTTTAATAGAGACAGGGTTTCGCCATGTTGGCCAGGCTAGTCTTGAACTCCTGACCTCAGGTGATCCGTCCATCTCAGCCTCCCAAAAGTTCTGGGATTACAGGCGTGAGCCACTGCACCAGGCCATGCTTTCATTTTAGATGGAGTGACCAAGAACCTGAGTGAGAAGGTGACTCTATGGACATGCAAGTGATAGACACCAGAGGGACAGCCTTCCAGACAGAGGGAACAGTCTGTGCAGAGGCCCTGAGGGAGGAGCAATCCGGAATGTTTGAGGAAAGTGAGTGTGGCTGGAGCCAACTGAGGGTGGAGCAGAGTAGAGGGAAAGGAGGTCAGAGAGTAGGAGACTGGAGGGTTCTGAGCAGAGGAGTGGCATGGCATGACACACACTTTAATAGGATCTCTCTGGCTGCTGGGCTGAGAATACACTTAGGAGGGTAAGGGTAGAGATGAGGAAACCAGTTAGGAAACGGCCGCCGTGATCCAGGTGAGAGATGATGCGTGCGATGTCCTTACCTTGGCACCTGACATGAAACCAGCTCTGGATAAGGGTTCCCATTGCTGTCCTGTTGTGACCGGAATCCACGCATGCATAGCTAGCAAAGGCAGAGCTCAGGTCCGTCCACTGCCATCATCACTTCCCTCAATCTTCTTAAACCCTGTCTTAATATTCTTCCTTCTTTCTTCTCGCTCTGCCTCCTTCTGACTGTTGTCTTCCTCTTATTACTATAATGTCTCTTAGGGCACAATTCTGAAGGTTTGTTTTGAATCTCGACGAGAGAGCAGCAAGCCTTTTGGCCTATGGGTTCCAAGAGTCAGATTCCACAAGTCATATCAGAAAGGACAGGAAGAAGGGAGGGGTGAGTGACAGGGAAGTTGCCGGCGAGATGGCTCTGCCATGGAGATTGTGCTAATGCCACAAGCAAAGCGTGTGTGCCCCTGTCATCCACAGGAGAAGTCCCTCCAGGCATTTCAGACAAAACCTGAAAGAAATGGTAAGGCAGGGAGTCAGAGGCTGACACTTCTGTTGTATGGACTGGGGCTGTGATGATCAAAAGGTCGTTTTCCGATGAAATCGGGAAGTACAGGGTTAATAGAGAAACCACTACCACCACCCCCATACCTACAGCTCCAAACATTTTCAGATGAAATCGGAAAGTACAGGGATAATAGAGAAACCACCACCACCAACCCCTTACCTACAGCTCCAAACATTTTCAGATGAAATCCGGAAGTACAGGGAAAATAGAGAAACCACCACCACCACCCCCTTACCTACAGCTCCAAACATTTTCAGATGAAATCAGGAAGTACAGGGATAATAGAGAAACCACCACCACCAACCCCATACCTACAGCTCCAAACATTTTCAGATGAAATCAGGAAGTACAGGGATAATAGAGAAACCACCACCACCACCCCCTTACCTACAGCTCCAAACATTTTCAGATGAAATCAGGAAGTACAGGGATAATAGAGAAACCACCACCACCACCCCCTTACCTACAGCTCCAAACATTTTCAGATGAAATCCGGAAGTACAGGGATAATAGAGAAACCAACACCACCAACCCCTTACCTACAGCCCCCAGCGTGTGATTCGGAAGAATCCTTGTTGATACTGGCCATCACGTGTGTCACAATACCAGGTGAGTTGTCACAGTGGAAGGCAGGGGTTTTCCCAGAAGCCATTCTGATAATGGGACGATGCGAAATGACTTAACTACGCGCGTTGGGCGGCATTTTCAGGTGTTGCCAGGGCCGGACCGCAGGTCTCTCCTTGCGGCTTGTGTGCCAGAGCAGAGTTTGAGTCTGAGGTGGAGGGAGTCATGGCAGGACAAGCATTTAGAAAATTTCTTCCACTCTTTGACCAAATATTGGTTGAAAGGAGGAACTGCTGAAATTGCAACCAAAGAGGCATTATGCTTCCAGAACAGTCTCAAGGAAAATATTGCAAGCAACAGCAGCTACTGTTGGGTGGCGTTCAAAAGGAAAGCGTGAAAGTTGGAGATAAAGTTCTTCTCCCAGAATGTGGAGGCGCCAAAGTGCCTGGATACTCTAGATGACAAGGATTATTTCCTACTTAGAGATGGTGACATTCTTGGAAAGTACATAGACTGTAATAAGTCACTATTGAAATGGCATCAACATGAAGCTGCCCATTCCGCTGAAGTTCTGAAATCTTTCATCCTGTAAATAATTCCCATCTCTCTCTTTCATAATAAACTAATGATAACCAATGACAAAAAAAAGCAATGACTTAACTATATAAAGAATTGTCTCTCAATCACATAAATATGTCCCACTAAAGATGTCCCCAACTACACCCCCGCTTAGCCAGAGCCCCAGGATGCCCTCGGCTACTCTAATCCCCCTGACGAGATAAAAAAAGGAAAGTCCGAGGCCTCAAGTAATTGTGATTTAAAATCCCTTTTGCCAATTTTACAAAAACTTCCCACCCAGTGCACGCATTGCAGAGGCGCCTCCCGGGGCCGGGAAGGGTTCTGTAAGGAACTCCAGGGCCTGAAACTTCTCCCGGAAAACCAGCCTTTGCCTAGAACAGAGGTGATTTCCCTTCATGCTCAGAGAGCTTGTTCCATCACAGGAAGCAGACTCATTAGGCATTGTTTGTAGCCATCATGTTTTATTCAGCTTAGAAATTGCTGATATTATTACTAGATGATTAATTTATACTGTTTGAATTACTAGACAGTGAGCCACTTTTTGTAACATTTACACTCTGACTTCTCATTGACTCCCTTTTAAATCAGTCGGTCCCAAGTCATTCCATCAGCAAACATTTATTGAGGGTATACTTTCTGCAGGCACTGTGCTAAGTTCAAATGGTGAGGAGAGGAAACACAGGCCCTGCCTCCATGGGACCCTCGGGAAAGGAGACACACAAGCAAATAATCACCACTGGACTAGAGAGGAGAAGTTCAGCATCCTGTGAGAGTAAAACAGGGGGTCCTCACCCAGTGGGAGTGAGAGGAAAGATTGAGATCTGAAGGATTCATTCCTTCCGCAATTATTTTTCAGTGCTACCCTTTGTCCAAACAGTGCTAAGGCCTGGAATAAGGTAAGCAACACCTGCAGAGTCCCTGTCTTCTGTCTTTCTAGAACTGGAGGAGACGTTGTCAGAGAATCTGATTGCATCTATCTGTAAATTACAACCTGATAACAGCCTTCATGAAGGGGGATGCGGGTGCATATGTGAGGTTATGTAAGGAGAGTTGGTGCAGGAGGGACAGGCTTTCTAAAGGGGGCCACAGGGTGCTGAGAGCCAGGGGCAGAGTTAAATGGATGGCTGAGAAGATGGGAGGGTGTCTGGGAGTATTCCAAGCAAAAGGAAGTGTGAGCAAGGGCTGGGGGTGGGAGAGAGAGAAAAAAGACGAAAAGAGCCCTGCATGGCTGGGGTGGCTCCAGGTGAGACCTCAACTACCCGGGGCTGGATAAATAAGAATGGGCTGGTGTGCCGCAAACCGATAGGAGCACCGGAGAAGTTCGGAGCAGAGGACAGACACGGCCCGATTGGCATTTAGAGGGAGCACTCTGGCTGCAGCAAGAATGTTGGATTACAAGGGTTGCCTTGGCAGTAACTGCACCCTAATTACTTCCCTCTTTCTCGCTTTCTTTTCCAGTGGCCACAGAGATTTCAATAAATGCATGCCAGACACAGAGTTAAAAGCACGCCAACAATGAGGGCTGTATGGTTTAGAGAAGGGCAGAAGAGCACACTGCTTTCAGTTAGGCAGAGGCAGATTGGATTGCCTGCCACTGCCGGTGGGCTGCTGGCTCCAGGCAGTCACTCACCTTCTCTAAAAGCCACCTCTGCCTAGTCTGTGAAATGCAGATAATGATGCCTGCTCCACCCACTTGTACGAGCATTGGAAGGGGTGGGTGCAATGTACCTGACATTTGGCAGAATTCAGTGCGCACCAGCTGTTAAGGAGAGCAATTGCAATGTGGTCAGGCTAGTCACAGGAAGATTTCTAACCAAAATCTATACTAGCGAAAGCACTGAGAATACAGTGCAATTTCTCATATTAAACAATACATAAGTATATATAATACATTTATGTAAATACTCAATATTTTTATAGATAGTTGTCTAATGAGATCTTCCTAATACTAGTGTTAGAAAACAAGTTTATATTACTTATATGATTAAAATATATAAATACACAATGAAGTTGAAAAGTTTTCTCAATACAGAATGTTGTACAGGAACTGCCTTCCATTTGGGCTTTTTCTGTGTACAGTCATGCCCTGGAGGAACTGAACTCATTTCTTAGCATGTCTATCTATCCCCAACATTAGCTTCTCAAGAGTAATTTTCTCTCTCCGGAGCCAACTACAGAGCCTGGCACTTAGTAGCAGGTGCTCGTAAAATACTTGCAGAATGGAAAAATAGATAAAGAACAAATGAACAAATTTAATTTGTTAATCTATCAACTATATTTTATGAACCCAAATTAAGATACTTTGTCTGTTATACTGAATACGAGTGTCTTAGAGAGAACTTGGCATGAAATATTTGAAATTCAGACTGTCCTGGAAAATTCGGGACATGTGATCAGCATGTATCCTCAAATAGCTGAACATCTTTTAAAGGAGTTGCAACAAATAGCTGTAACAGGTCCCCCTGTGGGCTCGTGTCACACTTATTTTTGAACATAAAACTTGTTCCGAGTCCTGCGTTCGTGGTAGAAGCAACAGCCTAGAAGGTTTTAAAGGAGTTCTGTTTAATGACGACGCAGGGCTCAGGGTCAGCTTCCCTCTTATCTTGCTCACTACAATTAGTTGCCTTGATCAGACCTCTACGGGCACAAAAAGAGCAAGTGAAACAGCCATACATTTTGTTTGTTAAGCACAGCTGAGGCTGGCTCAACAGAGTGTCAATTCAAGGGAATAAAATATGCAGCAAAGTTGGGAGAATGGGAACAAAGAATCCAGTATGACAACTTCCAGGAGAGCTAAGCAAGCTTTCAAAACAGCGTCACGGAGGTAAGAAGCCTCGATAATGTGGAAAAGAGACAAAATGGAAAAGAAAGCTTGAGAGGAGCTGGAAGGACTAATCTAAAATCAAGGAAGAAATTTAAGAATTTGTTTTAAAGGAACATTTTTAAAAGTCAGGTTTATTGAAATACAATTTATATACAATAAAATTTACCTTTCAGTGTACAGTGCTGAGTTTTGACCATTGCATATAGTTGTATAGTCAAGCCTTGGGAGAGTGTGTATGTTTTCTAAAACTATATATGTATTATCAAAATGTTTGATAATGAGCTTATATTACTATATAACTAGAAAAAGTACTTATATATTATAAATTTGTACTAAATACATACATACAGAGTCTGATTCCAAAGCCCATTCTCTTTGCTGAGCAAAGAGGAGGAGAGGTAGGGACACAGTTTAGAAGGAAATAAAAGAAAGACTCCTCTTAGCAACAGGCACCTATTCAGAAATGAGACACCAGAATCAAAGTCACCAGAAGACCCGGAGCACAGCTCTGCTGTCTCTAGAGCGCCTCACGGTCTGACATCTCCACCTTCAAAAAGCTGCTGAGCACAGATACGCTTCCAAAGTGCTACAGATGAGACCTGGAGACCTGCCAAGCCCACTGAGACCACTCCAGGCCCACAGACCATCACCTAAGCATCTTCCTGTCTCTTCCCACATCTCCCGAAAATCAGGTAGGAACAAGCTAATCATTCTTATGGGCAAGTGAGTGCGTGGCAGCTTTTCACTGTACTGAGGAGGCAGGAAGATGACCAAGGAGGCCAGAGCCAAAGGACGCAGAGCAAAATACAGGTCACATTTGAATACGGAAGCAATCCACAGACAGACGGAAAGTATTTCCAAAACATGACAAAGAAATCATGTCTAGGTTAGGTAAAGAGCTCCTATATCTCAAAAATTAAAAAACAGCAACAACAATTTGGATTGGCTTTAATGAACAGTTCATTAAGGAAGATACATAAATGGCCCATAACCACTTTAAAAGATGCTCAACATTGATAATCATTAGGGAAATGCAAACTAAAGCCGCAACATGATATCACTTCCCACATCAATGCTAAAATAAAGGAGAGACACATAACACTAAATGTTGGGAGAACACAGGACAGCCTGAACTCTCACGCACCGTTGGTGGTACAACCACTTTGTGAAAATGTCTGACAATTTCTTTTTTTTTAGACAGAGTTTCGCTGTTGTTACCCAGGCTGGAGTGCAATGGCACGATCTCGGCTCACCGCAACCTCTGCCTTCTGGGTTCAAGCAATTCTCCTGCCTCAGCCTCCCAAGTAGCTGGGATTACAGGCACACACCACCATGCCCAGCTAATTTTTGTATTTTTAGTAGAGACGGGGTTTCACCTCGTTGACCAGGATGGTCTCGATCTCTTGACCTCGTGATCCACCCGCCTCGGCCTCCCAAAGTGCTGGGATTATAGGCGTGAGCCACCGCGCCCAGCCATTGTCTGACAATTTCTTATGTGGCTAAACACATACCTGCCCTATGACCCAGCGGTTCTTCCCCTAGGTAGACAGCCAAGAGTTATGAAGGCATTTCCACATAGAGACTTGCACGAAAACCTTCATAGCAGGTTTAATTGCTAAGCAGACTCAGGCATACTCATATAATTGAATAATACTCAACAATATAAAGAAACAAATTCCAGTACATATAATAGTTTGGATGAATCTTTAAAACATGCTGAGTGAAAGAAGGCATAGAAAAGCATATACTGTGTGTAGGCCTCACTTGAGGCCAGGAGTTTAAGACTAGCCTGGCCAACATGGGGAAACCTCATCCCCAGTAAAAATACAAAAATTAGCCTGCCGTGGTAGCACATGCCTATAACCCCAGCTATGCAGGAGACTAAGGCAGGAGAATCTCTTGAACCCAGGAGGCAGAGATTGCAGTGAGCCAAGATTGTGCCACTGTACTCCAACCTGGGTGACACAGCAAGATTCTATCTTAAATATATACATATACATATATACTGAAATCACACTATATATATACATATATAATAGAGAGAGATCTCATTTATATTAGGTGCTAAAATAGGCAAAACTAATTTATGGTGGGGAAAAAATCAGAATAGTACTTGTCCCTGACATATAGGGATGAGCTT